TTGTTACAAACTGATACTTAATCCATTTCTAATTTTCTATACAACTTTAATTATTATTTTTTGTTGTTTAAACAAGTATTAATCTTGTAATTTGAATTTTGATTTGGTTTTTGTTTTATTCCCCGAGGTTAAAGCATAGATAGGGACAATTATAAACAGCATATATATAAGCATTGGGGAATAATGCAACTTGGAAAGCTGTGGTGGTCGGGAATACCACAGAGACTATATATATATATATATGCAAATTTGGATGAATATAAAAACATATAATATTTATACTCAGATTCGGCATTGAGAGGCCTGCTTTTAAAGGAACTGAGTTCCATTAGCTTTACCAAAGTCAACCAAATTGCACCAAGACCTCGATCCATCTTCAACTCTAGAAGAAGCTGTTTCGATTCTCAAGTATGCAAAAGGTGTTAGGGCTGTTTTGGTATTGCTGTGCTTTGAAAAAAAGCTGCTGTGAGAATAAGCGGCTGTGAAATAAAGCAGCAGAGTGTTTGGTAAACTTTTTTGTAAAAGTGCTTTTGGAAAAAAAAGCAGTCTGATAGTGGGTATTTTCATTAAAGGAGCACTGTAGCTCCGTGTGCTTTGAAAAAAGCCAGTTTTCCAAAGCTGCAAATAGCAGCTTTAGCTTTTTTCTTTGATTTCAGCTTATTCTCACAGCAGCTTCCAAAATAAGCCATTTTTTTTCAGTTTACCAAACACCTAAAACCCTTACAGCTTTTTTTCATGGGTGCTTTTTTTTAAGCACCTCACTCCCAAACCAGTTCTTAGAATAATGTGACTGTAAACAACTTAAAAGAAAGAGGAATCATGAAAATTGATTTGTAAGTTGGGATTCTTATATATATTATATTTAAATGAAATGAAAGGAGAAGACTATATTGACAAGACATCAACATAATTTCTTTTAATTAAAAACGATAACTCTAATCTAAATTACACTTAGGAAAGAAAAAGAATTCCAGCAAAGGTGCACTGAAACAACTGGAACAATCGGCCACATGCAACACATCAACATAATGAAACACTACATCTTGCAAATGTCCACATAACACAAAAAACATTGCTTTATACAAAACGGTAGATCCTATAGAAGCCCTAGTTAGTGACCGAAAAAAAGAGAAACGATAATTGAAACAAGGGAGTTTTAACCGAACACTCCCAGTACTGTTCAATTTTAACGAAAAACCACATTTATACCTTTCTCTGGTACTATTTACTATATCTTTAAAAATGATTTTTCATTAAAGGGAAGTTTTTTTGAACTTTTCGTTAGTTTTCCTTTGAAACAATGGTTATACACATAGATCGGCCCCAGAAAAACCCTACTTGCTAACTATTCTAACAATGACAATATTGATGATTGAGTTTTGAGCCAATATCCACTGTTAGAGAAAGACCCCATATATACATGGATTAGTTTTCGATTCATTTATGTGATCACAGATTCACAGTGGGCAGTAATTTGTTTTGGAGTTAGTAATTATATATGGAGCATCAGGTCCACTATATACGACTAAGAATTATTAGAAAGGTGTGGTGATTGCAGTAGGCATGCATGTGAGACTCGTCTTTTAATGGATTGGCTAGTGTAATATTATAAATAGGGGTCCATCTTCTAGTCTAAATTTAGTAGTCTTATCCTAGAAATTTGTAGTATATGATTTGGAGTATATATAGTACATATATATCGAAATTGAAACGTTGATTTTTTTTTTATCAAATATTCAATAATCGAAAATTCAACAACTTAAGATTCCTATGGATACTATACATAGATTCTGAGCATACTATAATTTTCGTTCTTATTCTATCTTCATGAGTCCATTACATTTCATTTGGTTGATCCACAACATGTGTGCATGTGTGTGTTGTAGGGTTCCATATAGAATATATAGGGAGTGGGACAAGGCAAAGACCTTATTGTATAAAAGAGATTAGACATGATTCATGCATACCTCATTCTCCTTGAAAGAAGGGACTTGACCAACCCAAAAGCACTTTTTTTTAACCCAAAAGCACTTAAAATCGCAAATCTTCTCCCACTTTATTTTTATCACTTCCATCATAGAATTGGAAAAAGGTGGAACAAAGTAACAGAAAAAGCCATCCACTTAATCTTCTTCAAACAGAAAAAGCTTTCTATATATACGGACCATTGAGTGTATAAGATCACCACCCCATAAGTTTTAGGCCTATAGTTTGAAAGTTGTTTTAAAATGACTGAAAGCGTTTGTGATGAAAATGTTTAAAATCAATCATTAGTAAAAATCCAACTGGATCCTGGAAAAAAAACTTTAAGTGCTTTTTGCAAGCACATATCTGGTGCTTCTTTTAAGAAGCACTTTGAAGCCCAAAATCAATTTAATCAAAAGTGTTTTCAGTCATTTTAAAAGCACTTCCAAACGAGCTCTTAAATTGTCACAAAGCTTCCTCCCATTGCTCTAAGAGACTGAACAGGTGCCCATTGAGCCGATCATCTTAAGCTTGACTCAATTAATTTAGAATTTGATATTGGATATTGGATTAAACTTGACCAATTTCAGGGACCAGTTGTGATAAAAACCATAGAAATGAATTACATTTATATATGTGAAACTCACTTGTATAAAATAATATGATTCAAATGATAATACTCACTCAAATAAGTCTGCTATTTATCAACTCGATTCAAAAGTAAGATACATGTTTGGTAGTAGGGATTTGATTTTTGAGGCAAACAGCTTCCCGCTAGTAAATATGATTCAAATAATAATACTCACTCAAAACATAGTAATGCATTATTTGACTGAGTGACATGCTAATGAAAAGGGCAAAGCTTCCCGCTGCTTTTGACCTTCCCTACACAAGTTTGATTTCTGTACTTTATGATGCTTGATCTCTCCTCTGTCACTCAACTGGTATACTAGTGCCACTGAAAAACTAAACCACTTACTCTCGCTAGCAACACTGCATAGGGATTCCAAGTGACTCCAAAACAGGTCTTGGAGTCAAGTATGTGAAGGATTAGTTATGCCATGCCTATTCGTTTCAGATATTGGAGTCAAGTATTTGGAAAACAACAAAACAAATTGTTTTAGATTACATTATTCGGTAACTTCTTTTCTTATTAAAGAAAATCGAGCATTGTTCCGAGATTTTTGTCCAATTGGAGATTTAGTCGTGAACTAATAATCTGTAAGTATTGATTTCTAAATTTGTCACAATATGGAGCAATATGGTCATTTTGTGTAGCATCATTAGAACTTGCATCTAAAATAAAAGATATAAAAAGACAAAATCATTACTCACAAACTTTTTGTTCAAGGAAACCGAACTTCCAAGCAATGCAATTAGCGACTTTAATTAAAGGGCAATTGATTAAAATAATGAAAACTAAAACTTGTTTGCTAAAATTATCAGATTTAAAAAAATCATCAATCTATAAGGGAGATATGATGGGTCTATGAAAGTTAATATGATAGGTTAATTTAAAAGGGTGTCTAATCAGTTTAACAATGGTTTTTTATTTTTTATTTTATCATTTTAGACAATTGCCCTTAATTAAATGGGGATGCATTACAACCAAGGAAGAAAATATCGGTAATATCGGAAATATCGGTAGTCCGAAAACACGGAAATATCGATGGAAATATCGGGATAATATCGATATCGATAAAAATTACATGGAAACCACGGAAATTGTAAGAAAAACTTGGAAATTTTTAATGAAACTTTGTAGGATGTTTATTTAGTCAATTATCTATTAGTTTATCACAAAAAATTGGAAGGAAATGCATTGCATGATGGATTTAACTGATTTAAGTTGATTATATAGCGAGCTGGCAAACATTATGAGTGTAGAAAATATGTAGTAATTAATGAAAGAAGTTTAAACACACCATAATCATTTATATATAATTAATTAGTACAATATTTGGAGGTTTTATTTAGGATATTAAAAAAAAAAAGGGAAGTGAATAAAATGATGAAGAATAATGTGCCGAATTTGACACTTTAAATTTCTTACACATAAGAATAAGACTAAACTTTAATTTGGATGCCGATTATGTTTTTTCAAGTTTATATAAAGTAAAAGAATTGAATTTTGGAAGCCAGGAGTGTGTCAATTGAATTTTGGCCGGCGTGCAAGGTATCAATCTCTTCGTCTCGTCGAGTAGTACAACTTTCCTTTTTGTTTCACTCAATTTCGTTGAGTATTGAAAAAGTTATACTCATTTGAATCTTACCCAGTTTCAGGCGACCTCAGTGGCTTTCGAGGAAATTTCCGGCCAAACAACAACGAGTCAGACATCGTGTGAGATACCATTCTCTTCGTCTCTTCGAGGGCTACAACTTTCCTTTTTGTTTCACTCAATTTCGTTGCGTATTGAAAAAGTTATACTCATTTGAATCTTACCCAATTTCCAGCGACCTCAGTGGCTTTCGAGGCAATTTCCGGCCAAACCACGGCGAGTTGGCCGACGTGCAAGGTATCAATCTCTTCGTCTCGTCGAGTAGTACAACTTTCCTTTTTGTTTCACTCAATTTCGTTGAGTATTAAAAAAGTTATACTCATTTGAATCTTACCCAGTTTCCGGCGATCTCAGTGACTTTCGAGGAATTTTCCGGCCAAACCACGACGATTCAAACGTTGTGTGAGGTACCATTCTCTTCCTCTCTTCGAGGGCTACAACTTTAGTTTTTGTCTTGCTTGATTTCGTTGAGTTTTGACAAAGTTATGGCCGTTTAAAGTGGGTGTAAATTTTCGGCCGAAATTCTGATTTTCTCCTATTGGGAGAGTCCCACATCGCCCATGCTTGCTCACTGCCCTCGCAATTTGTCCTATAAAACCCACATTCCCCTGCTCGGTAAGCCATATCTTGTTCACCCTTTGGGCTATGATCAAGTGAAGTATATGTTGAGTTTTCTCAACATATTTAAGTATTTTTTAGTATTATGTGGCGATATTATGATGAAAATCATTTGGATAGTTAAAAAAATATCGGATCTCTAAAAAAACGATAATATCGGCAATATTTCACCGATATTATCGATTTTTTCTTCCATGATTACAACTAACTGAGTATTACACAAGCAGCAGGAGGAGAAAATATTGCCCTAAAAGTTTGAAATCAACAAAACCAATATATAGGCTTTATTGATTATCTATGAAGCTTCACATATGCAACATCTGTTTAGGTTTATTGGGCTGTAGGAATTAGGAATCACAATTATTATTTAGTAAGCAACATATAGGCACTGCATAGATATATTATGTAGGGATTCTGTATTCATTTCCCCATCTTCACTTACTTCTGAGCTTGTGGATCTTGTATTATTGTGGTAACTGCAAATCGTATATAGCAAACACCAAAAATACAAAAGAAAAAAAAAAAAAAGATTAAGCAGCGGATTACTGAATTTTCAAATAGAATTTAATTAAGAATCAATTTTAAACAAGGATGATAGACTCCTTTCCTAAGTTCTAAGTTCTAACCTCACAGTAAATTGGTAAAATAATAATTTGCTTGATTACCTGTTGAATTGGTACGGTGTACAGTCCCTTGCAGTAGATTGTCTGATACATTGCTGCAAATAAATCATAGTATCCCAATCATTAGATCAACAAGGAAGTATACACCTTTTTAAGGCTTTAAAATGGAGTCAAGGACCAAGTGAACTCACAAAAGATTCAAGTTGCCAAATCGAATGAGATTAAGGAGCTCTGCAGGTATAGTGCCAGTGAGCAAGTTACTGTTTAATTCCCTAACAAAAGAAATTAAGCATGGACGACCGAGTAAGAAAACAAATTATTAACTGATACAAATGCTTATGATCACTAAGCTGTACTTAATGACATTATAAACTTACAAGATCTGTAAAGATTTCAAATTTCCGAGACTAAGAGGAATAGGTCCAGTCAGACTATTGCTAAAGACCCTCCTGCCAGTAGGATTGATATACAGCCCATGTATCAGAAAAACCAACGGAACCAGAATTGTTGTTAACAGGTTTAGTGCGACATAAGTTACATAGAAAAAGCTCATCGTTGAAAAAATTAAAATTTCTTGATGGATTCAAACAACTCAAAGAACATTGTTTTATAAAGGGAATATGTACTTGCATAAACCTCAAGGAAGGGAGGTGTCCCAAAGATGTCGGAATTGTCCCTGTGAGATTATTCTGGTAAAGGTCCAAGCTGACGAGTTTTGTCAAGTTACCGATTTCCTTTGGTATAGATCCAAAGAGGTTATTGCCAAATACCTCCCTGCAGCGCAAACAGACATATTTACCTAGTTATTTCATTCTACTCAAACTACTCTAACTTGTAGTTCGAGAGATGGGAAAGATGATCTTACAAGTACTGAAGGTTGGCCAAGATTCCCAGCTCAGGGACAATAAGTCCTGACAGGTTAGCATCGCCAAGGTCCCTTCATATATATACATACGCAGAAAGATAAGTCCAATTTAAATACTAAACTTCCCGGAGTAATTAGTGGAAGGAATTTGCGGCAATAGATTGTAAGGAGTTGAGTCAATGTTAATAAAAAGACCACTTACACCCTTGTAACACTGTTTTCAGAATTGCAAGTAACGTGGAACCAGGTGCATGGATTTCGTAACGTTGGATCCCAGCTCTGGAGGACATTGTTTGGGTCGACCAAGCTGGATTTCCAGACACTCAGAGCATCTCCTGTTCATGAAGTAAAGCACTGAAAAGAATTAAGCCTTGGCCAACATAAATTTGCTTGAATTTGCCTGAATATAGCAAGTCAATATCATACCTTCCGAGTAGCATTCCACTGATGCAATAGCTACTGCTGCAAGATAAAAAACAAGCAAAACTCGAGAACCCATCACGCACAAATCAGTAGAGTCTAAACGATAAGGTTAGAGTAGAGCTCGAATCATTGTATTTTTTGCAGAGGAACTGAGATTTTATAGAGAAGATAAACCAGCATTGACAGTGATTTTGATATAGATGGAGGAAAAGTTTAGGAAGATGAGTTGTTGGGATTATTAAATTCGTGACTAGAAGAATACTTCAATAGTGAAGGTTGACGAGAGGAAAAACTCATAATCATCTGTAAGTTTAGGAGAAAGACTTACATTAAACAGAGATATCAAGTTGGTCATGTCCCAAATCTGTTACACTTCGTCTTGTGCTTCAACACTTTTCCACATGGCGATGAGTGATAGGTCTGAGACACCTAACATTTTGAACCCATCATGCATTGTCATTTGTTTCAACTTTCTCTCTTGACAACACGAGTTTAAGACATTACGCCTTGACATCTTTACTTCATGTCCTATACTGAGTTTATATCCGAAATAATTTACGCGAGTTTTTGACTTGTGACTCGAAGCCGCAACTCCAATTCTAGATATAAGACCATAAACAGTAAAAGAATCAGAGAAATTGTGACTAAAAATTGTGAAGATATGGTCTCCGAGGGGTGTTTACCAGTACAACGTAAGTTTCTTTTGTCTTAGCATGACAACTTGGACTGTCTTCTCTTCCAATTCATCCAGAATGTTGACTATGTAGAAGGTATTGTTTGTTTACCTGTATAGCAAACGAGGCACTAGAATTCAAATTGAGATTAGTCAATAAATCCTTCACCTAACCATAACGTAAGCGTTTTTTAACTCTTGTATCAAGTGTAGTTAAAAGCGTTTTTTGGTTCTCAAAAAACACTTTTAGTTATTCTAGAACCTATCCTAAACAGGTGTAGACACTACTTAAATGATCTGTAATTTTTTTTATTTGACAACAGACGAAGGAATTGGTCCGGTCCGTGATATTTTGAGCAGTACTCAATTTCATGTCAGAAATAGAAATAGAAATAGAGAGAAAGATGGACGCATATGCATTATCATGGCCATACAAGTTTCCAGGCTCGGGGACAGTAATTCCCGATCCATAGTCCAGCTTGCCAAGGTCCCTTCATATATAAATCATACGTTAAGATCATAAGACATGCATGTGATGACTCTGTGAGTACTGCAATTTAATTCAGTTTTCCCTCAGAGTTCAACGATTATGCTGGCTGTTCGTTTTAGATCATGGGGTCAAGTTTTCGGAAACCAACACAACATATAGGTTATATATATACATCGGTTTCCGAATACAAATTAGCTTATATATAATATAGGTTAGTGTTTCAATGAAAATATAAATATGGGTTAGTATAGGTTATAGAATACTTCTTTTCTATTTAGTAGATATACTAGAAATTGGTACCCCGTGCGTTGCTGCGGGATTAGAAATTGTAAAAAAAATATCATAGACGATTACTATTATTTACATTAAAAATGTTTGAAGATTTTAACAAACAAAAGATTTAATCTATACAATCCACACATACACAATCGTAGAACTTTTGTCTCTACATACAAAAAAAAAAAAAAAAATCAAAGTTGTTCACTGAAGCACCTAAAGTTTCTCTCCAGTCCTCTTGATTGTGAAGAAAGCAACCTAGGCAAGGGAAAATATGAAATACTAAAATACATGCAATTAATATATACATCAACAGGTTTCTTTTTTTGGTGGAAAAGAATCTGGTTTTATACCAGTTAAAGAGGACTTTTTTTCAGTGATTAAATAGTCTCTTATTTAGATCAGTGCATTTTTATATTGTAAATTGTAAATATTGAGATTTTATGTTATAACTAAATAATCAATCTAAAAACCAAGTTAACACCCATAGATTTTAGGGAACTTTAACGAAAAGCTTCCGGTACTGTTCACTTTAACGAAAAATCATATTTTTACATTAAAAAGTCAATCATGATTACTATTCACTTTACCCTTTATTTTGTCCTTATCGTTAAAACTCAAAATTTTCAAGTTTTTTTTATTAGTTTTCCTTAGATTTTATGTTATAGCTAAACAGTCAAAACTAAATAACTTGGGTAATCACTGAAATTACAAAGCTTCATAAACAATAAAGAAGGGAGAGGGGTATAGACCATGAAAAAATTTGGAATCACTGAAATTAAAACCCAAATTCCATAAAGTCTAAATGTAAATTCACAGAAATCATTCAAACCAACTCCACATCATTCACGATAATTATTCAATAATCCAAGAAATTGAAATTGCCACCGTCTCCGAAACCAAACAAATTGCTTCATCATTCACCAATATCCTCTGTGTTATAAATTCGAATAAAAAACCATTGAATAAAAGTGCCTACTAACCAAAGCATCCTTTGACCAAATTAAGAAATTCAAATAAAATTAAACACTAAAATCTGCAATAATTTTTCAACAAAACAAAAAACACTTCTCTTTTAACACCTTCACCAACACTCTCAACAATGTTGTAAAAAAATGCAGTCTTTTCATTCCTAGTTTGAAATAATTCCGAATTGAAAGAAAGAAAAAAAAATTAAGACTGAAAAGCAATAAGAAAATTTGAAAAGAAAAGACCCCAAAAATAAATCATTTAGCTATAAACAGTATGCAGAAACGTGGAAAAAAAATTAGAGATGCACTAACACTACAATTCATGATCATTACCCAAAATCTCCAAAGTAAACATATGCTCAAATATACACCTCTCTATTTTTCATCTCTCACCCTGTTATTTGGTATTGTGATAAGGTTTATGATAAGCAATGATTTTACCAAAATTTAATACTAAAATACATCACAGTAGAAGTTTAACATCAGAGGAGGAGTTGATCTCTACCTTTGATATGTTGATCCTGGAGTCAATCTCTACCTTTGATATACCATTTCCCTGCATACTTGATTCCTTTTAAGGCCACCTGTTGGGAAAAAAATAAACACAAAACTTGGAACACTATTTAAACAAAAAGAGATTTCTCAATCAGAGAAAGATTCAATTTCATGTAATTTATTTTGTTAACAATGCAATATTGGAACTTGCATTTGGTTCAAAGAAGTAAGGTAAATTGATAACGCAAAAGGAAACTGAAAACAGAATCTCTACCGATTGGTTTAAAAGCAGCAATCAGAATGGCAATGAAAAATTCATACTGAAATCTCACCTTGTGAGATTATCCTGATATGTGTTCACTTTCTATTTTTTATCAGACCAAAATTCTCATTCTGTAGCTCTGAGTTTAATTTTTATTTCGACTCACTACATAGATCGGTTCAACCTCCTTCTGTTTTTCCTAGAATTTTTTCACAGAAATACAAACTGTGTAAGTGTTAAAAAACCTGTCAACGGCCATACTACCAATGAATAAAAAATAATCACCATTAAGAAATTCAATAACCAAGCACACCTCTTGTGCTTTCCCCAATATCACTATTTCACATTGCAATTGGTAGTGAGAACACATAAAGGGCAAAAAAGTTGAAGCAAAACCCTTAACATCATATTGTAATGGATAAAAACAGTGGGGCAGAGCGTTGATTAAAAAGAAAACAGTGATGTTTCCCTTTTGGATTTTCCACACCATCCAGTTCATCAAAGCAAATAAAAAGAGTGAGGTAAATCTTCGAAGCTTGCCTTAAACCAAGGAGAAAAGAGGATGCCTGTTGAAAGTAAGAATCCAAGTAATAATCAAACCAACATAGTAAGTCATGAACTGACCATCTGTGTTTTCCATTCGAAAATGGGAAAGGCCGATTTCACCACAGAGAGGATCAAGAGAAAAATTTGGCTTCAAATTAAAGTCAAACAAATCGACCAATTTGTATAATAGTAGAACGATCTAACATGGGAAAGGCTGATTTCACCACAGAGAGGATCAAGAGAAAAATTTGGCTTCAAATTAAAGTCAAACAAATTGACCAATTTGTATAATAGTAGAACGATCTAACATATATGAATTCATCTAGAATCCCGCCACCAATCTATAACTAAAAGAAAAAATAACAGCAATGTAAGACAAAAGGTACCTGCTTTGCTTTCTCCCCCTCTTTTCGGCGCCTCTCCTCTACCCTCTGCTTGTTCTTCAACTCCTTTTTGTGCACTGTAAACACCCCCACACAAAATTCGACACAATCAAAACAAAAAAAATAAATAAAGAATTAACAGCTCTCGTAGCGGAAATAAAAAACCCATATGGATTAAAAACAAAAACCCAGAAGTGGGAAATAGCCTGACAAAGCATGACATATATATTTTTTAAAAATTGATATTAACAGGGAAAACACAAAACTTGATAAATCTAATGAACAATTTCCTTCAACCCAATAAATATTTTTCCTTAAATAATCCAGAAACTCCACTGTCCTGTTATTAATACTACACCTATGCCTCAGTCCAATACTATTTTTTTTATATTTGCCAAAAAACCAAAACAAAATCCCAGCTTGATTCCCCCTATTTTATCCTAACTATAGGTGGCTTCAAATTATATTACTTCTATGCACAATATATAATAACATCAAATTATAATAATTGATAACACAATTATTCTTAGGATTTGCATATGATATTTGACTAAACACATATTTTTTCTTTAATAATGCTTTTACATGTTTTTAATTGGGTTTTTTTTTCCTCTAATTAAGTTCACTATATTATTCAATCATCTTCTACTTCTACAAATTCTACTAAAAAGGTCGTACCCAGTGCACAAGGCTCCCGCTTTACGCAGGGTCTGGGAGAGGTGAATGTCGGCTAGCCTTACCCCCATTTGTGGAGAGGCTGCTCCCAAGTCTCGAATCCGAGACTTACCGCTCATGGGCAAAGGCACTTGCCATCGCACCAAGTGCCATCTTCTTCTGTGCAAATTTGTTTTTCCTAATGAATCCCCATGTTTTGAAAATTGAATAATATTCTCTTGGACACACATAGAATTCTTTCTATGGACAAACTGGAGACATGAATACCACAACCATAGACACATGTAATTATTCCAAACCACCATACAAAAATATTATAACATTATAATGTACTACTGATATTCGAAAGCATAATGCATTCAAAGTAATAATCAATACACACTATATAAGTGGAAGCATTTATACCTCAATTCAATTTCAAGCTTAATTTTCTTGCTGGAAAATTTTGACTTGCAACACCAAATTACATTGATCAACAAAAAGCAATGAATTTAACAAAGCAAATACAAAAGATCGTACCCAGTGCACAAGGCTCCCGCTTTACGCAGGGTCTGGGAGAGGTGAATTGTCGGCTAGCCTTACCCCCATTTATGGAGAGGCTACTCCCAAGTCTCGAACCTGAGACCTACCGCTCATGGGCGAAGGCACTTGCCATCGCACCAAGTGCGACCTCTTTAACAAAGCAAATACAATGCAAAAAAAACAAAAAAGCATTCAATTTAGCTCTGTTTATATTAGACAAAGATCTGTTCAAATCATAAACACTGGAATAAAAAATTGAAGAACCAACCTTTTTCAAAAACCACTGGCTCAACTTCTAGCTTTTAATTAATCTACTGAAGACGAAATTAATCTAAAATTAAAACAAAAATCAGTACTTAAATCAACCAAAAATGTGGAACAAATACAAAATGACACAAAGACACACATCCTCAATTTCTTTCTACAGGTAAGAAAACAAAAGATCTCTAAAACAACCAAAACCTCATTCTACATCAACTAACCAATAGCTTGAACTATCACCAAAAAAAAAAAAAAGGAAAAAAAAAGTAAGAAGAAGAAGATTCCAAAACCTTTGCATCACTAATTCAAAAACTTGTGATTCATCTGCCGTTTACGCACACCCCAAATCCCCATGTCCAACAAATCTGCAGCAATCTACGGGTCAGTCAAATATCTAGCTTCATGGGCTTGCTTGAACTCTTGTTTGTAATTCATTGACGATGTATGAAATGTGAGTGTTTAACATTATCTATTTATGAAATGTTAGGGTTTAGCATTACCTAAAACTATTTATCAAATGAGAGAGAGAGAGAGAGAGAGAGAGAGAGATAGAGTTGAGTATTATTAACACACTTGGACTACATGTAACATGATTATGGTCCAAAGGTTTACATGCTGTACATAGGACCCTTAAGATTCAACGAAATTTGGCCTATAAAATGGGCTTGAGTGTATTAAACCGCATCACATGTAATAGGGTTCAGCATTACTTATAACTATTTATGAAATGTGCGTGCAAGCGTGTGTGTGTGTGTGTGTGAGAGAGAGAGAGAGAGAGAGAGAGAGAGAGAGAGAGAGACGTGGGCTGGCGTTTATTAACCTGTAACTCATGTAGTAGTGATAGTTCGGTTTTGTGGGTCTATTGACAGGGGGTGTTGCAAAGGATTTGCCTATGATATGAAGTAGAGGGGACACCTTGTTTGAGGGTAGGACTGAAGCTATTGATGAATATAGAATGGTGCCGGTAGGATAAGATTGAGAAGCTCTGTCAGAATCGGAAGGCGCTCGTCTAGAGTATACAGTCATGGAGAATTTTAGGATAAATAAAATCGAAAGAGAATGCGAAAATCACTCCCTGTCATCTATAGGGCATGCTTAGAAGTTAGAAGCATCACAATTTTCACCGTAACCCTAAAAACATGTGCAGATTGAAAACAGTGCCAATTATTAAACTGCAAATTCGAAATTACAGATAATCGTCTTCCTCCTCGCAAACAATAAAACCAAAACAAACATGCAAAAAAGCACATCAAGATAAGAGGGAGGAGTCCGGATCTCACCTCCAAGCTTTGTCGGTCGGATCCAGATCCTCGTCCGGTGAGGGACTTGGTCTGAACACCAAAACAATCAGATCCAATTAGCAAAAATAATAAAAAAACAGACACAGATAAAAAAAATTCAGATTACAATTACAGATCATGCTTTAAAAAACCAATAAATTCATGAAAATTTTGAAAAATTGAGAACGCTCTCTTCATTCATTAGAATCCCTGTTCGAAACCCCTCATACCTTAAAATTTAAAGTTGGAAACTCAAAGAGGAAGGCAAGTTATGCGTACATTCAATATTTGTTGGCAAATAAACAGGAATTAAACAACAAATTTCAAATTGAGGACAAAAATCTTACCAGGCAAAGGAGCCATCTAGCTCGTCGATGTCGGAGTCGTAGAAGACGCACCAGAGGCAGTTGGGGAAAGTTCGAGAGAGGAGAGGAAAGAGAGAGAAGGGAGAAAGAAAAGGTGAGGGAGGGTTTGGTTATGGTTGGCTTGTGGTTTGAGAGCTTTAAGATTGCAGAGAGAAAGCGAGGAGTGAGAGTGTAGAGAGGGGGACGGAAGTCTCTGGAACCCTTCAATTGCAGGCACAAATGAAGTAAAATACCAAAGAACTAAAATAGGAGTAAAAATGAAATAAAAGAAACTAAGTGGGGTAAAAACGGAACAACACTGTGTTTATGAACAGTATTTCAGTTGTTTTTTGCAAAATTGCCCGTGCGATGCTGCGGGTTTTTAAACAACATACAACATGTAGAAAGTTATATTTACAACTCTGCCTAACTTCAAGAATAGATAAAAGTTTGTTTCTTATCGAAATATGCGAATTTGAATGAAATGTATCAAAGAAGTATAGAGTGCGATAACAAACACACAACTAATGGTTAATCAGATCAGCCACAAATAATTCGAATCGAATTAAAAACAGGTAGAAATTAAGAACTCTGACAAAGAAGAACAAAGCAAGAAACCGATGAATTGGCATAGCGACAGAGAACAATATCTCAAACGAAGAAAAATAGAGGGCGAAAGACCAATGAAGTGGAGGTATCCCAGAGAAGAAAGCAAAAAAGCAATTCAATGGTTGATAACAACCCATTTAAATTGAACCCAAAAAGCTTCTACCATTTAAAAATCAAGAGAACACAATCTATACAGTCAGAAGAAAACGGTCCCAAATGTGAGATTAGAAGAACTCACCGCAAAACTACCCACTCTGAGACTAAGCGAGGCGAAGAGAGCAGAGAGGAAGAGAGAGCAAACGGCTGGAAAAGAAGGGAACCAAATGCAGTGGGGAAAAAATTCGACTAAAAGCAGTGAAAAGGAACTGAAAAACGAAGAGAAAGCGACGATGACAGTAGCATGGAAGTAAAGGGCACAACCGTCCTTTGAATGTGGAAACTAGGAAAAAAAAACGAACAGAAGGAAAAAATTTAAGGGCATTTTGGTCCGCACATTACCCTAAAACAGTACCACCCGAGTTTGGGTTTTAGTATATATAAATATAATATAATTTGAACAATTTCTTTTTCTTGACCAAATCTCGCACTTGGTGCTATTTCAAGAAATACACAACAAAATTGTAGATAAAAAACACTCTAGCAGAAACACACGTGTACTGTAGCAGAAACATTGTTCACAAGTTTGGTACACCACAAATCACACAAATGTAGCATAAACAATACTGTTCAACAAATTAGGGTACGACACGTCACGTCACACAGGTCATCAAGAATGAAATGCTCTGATTTTAAGTTAAATTGAATACGGATAAATTTTTTATTCATTGTATTACTCTTCTCCAAAGTGGAGTATATATAAGGTTTACATGAGTGTTTTGCAAGTAATTACTGGGAACCTAATTACAGTAAGACTAAAACAGGCTAATATATATTAGCACAACAAATAAATTAATCCTAAATAATAACAACTCGCAATAGTAGTTTGCTCGATTACTTGTTGAATTGGAACGGTCTGCAGTCGCTTGCAACATATTGTCCGATACATTGCTGCAGATATATGGTAAATCATGTAATCTTCAATCGTTAGATCAATGAGGAAACAAGCACAATTTGAAGTCTTTAAAATGTAGTCAAGGACCAGGTGAACTCACAGATACGTGCCAGACTGAACGAGATTACTGACCTCTACCGGTACGGTGCCAGTAAGCAGGTTACTGTTTAATTCCCTAAAAATGAAATCAAGCATGGGCGACTGAGTAAGAAAACATATTATCCGATAAAAATGCTTCTAATCACTCAGCTCTACTTAATTTCACAGGCTTATGGATGAGATGGACATTTTCAAACTTACAGGATCTGTAAAGATGTCAAATTGCCAAGACTAGGAGGAATAGATCCGGTCAGACGATTGTTGTAGAACCTCCTGTCAGTAGAAATAACATACAGCCATGCATCAGTAAAACCAGCAGTACCAGAATTGTTGTTAACAGGTTTAGTAAAACATAATTTACATAGAAAAAGCTCATATAAAAAATCAATTCAAATGGCTTGATGGAATTCAAACAACTCAGAGAACATTGTTTATAAAGGGTATATGTACTTACATAAACCTCAAGGAACTGAGCTGTCCCAAAGATGTCGGAATTGTCCCCGTGAGATTATTCTGGTAAAGATCCAAGCTGACGAGTTTTTTCAACTTACCAATTTCCTCTGGAATAGATCCAAAGAGGTTATTGCCATATACCTCCCTGCGGTGAAAATATTTAATTAAAACAAACATATTCCTGACAGGTACTCAAGGTTGAGAATTGGGGAAGATGGTCTTACAAGTACTCAAGGTTGGCCAAGATTCCCAGCTCAGGGACAAGAATTCCTGACAGGTTATTATCGCCGAGGTCCCTTCATATATACAGATGCATATAGACGAATCTTATTTAGTTACCAAACTTACAAGCAGGGGCTAATTAGTGGAAGGAATCGGAGCAAGAAGTAATGAACTGAGTTCAATGTGATTTAAACTGCTTACACCCTTATAACGCTGTTTTCGGAATTGCAAGTAATGTGGTACCAGGTGCATGGACTTGGCAACGTTGAATTCCAGCTCTGGAGGGCATTGCTTGGGTCGACCAATCCATGTTTCCAGACATTCAGAGCATCTCCTGTTCATGAATTAAGGCATTGAAAATAATTAAGCCTTAGCCAGCATAAATTTGCTTGAATTTGCCTGAATATAGAAAGTCAATATGCATACTTTCCGAGTTGCAATCCACTGATGCAATTGCTACTACTGCAAGAAACAAACCAAACAAAACTCGAGAACTCATCACGCACAAATCAGTTGGGCTTGAAATGAATCATTGTTTTTTTTTGCAGAGGAACTGAGATTTTATACAGAAGATGAACCAGCATTGACATTGATAATATGGTATAGATGGGGGATTATTTAACAACACCGGAAGTTGTTAGGATTATTATATAAATACCAGCGGGATGCTTCGGGAGTGAAGGTTGACCGGAGGGAAAGTCCACAATCAATCTGAAGTCTAAGGGTAAGGGGAGAGATATACATGAAACAAGACTTCAAGGTGGAGATATCCAAAATACGGCGTCGCTAATTAGTAGTACGGTTTAATGATATTCCTTTTCGCTTGTAATTGAGAGGTCTTATGTTCGATTCTCACCAAAAACAAATTTGAATCATATTATTATGACTGGCCCATTGCGAGGCTTAACTTAGTCCGCCATCTTTTAATATAGATAATATCTTTTGTTCAAAAAAAACAAGTCACCATGTCTTTTAATTTCCCGATTGACGACCCATAATAGGTTTTGGACGCCACCACCTTAGGCCCCCGTTTAATTTAAAAGAAAACTAATGAAAAAGACTTGAAAACTTTGAGTTTTAATGATAAGAACAAAATAAAGGGTAAAATAAATAGTATTATAATTGACTTTTTAATGTAAAAATATAGTTTTTCGTTAAAGTAAACAGCACCGAGAGCTTTTCGTTAAAGTTCCCTTAATTTAATTTTTAGAACGAAGAAATGTTAAATAATTCTGAAATAATGCATTTGATTCCTTGTAAATATGGTAAACATTCCGAGGGCGTTTACCAGTTCAATGGAAGTCTCCGTCTTTAGCATGACAACTTGGCTTGTCCGCCTTCTCATTCGATTCCTTGTCAAGAATCAAAGTGTTGACCTTGCACAAAGTATTGTTTTATTGGATAACTTTGATTATTTTCCACTTATTGTTTTTGTTTTGGGAGAACAGCGGAGCTGTTTATATGCACGCATGCACGTCGCAGACAGACCAAACAATAATATTTGATTCCATGGAGAGTGCATAATTATACATTTGCCTTGCGACGAAAGTAACAAATATTTACAGACATAGAGCTAGGACAAGCCTAACTCGACGCGGATCTAACCATCGGGAGATTCGGTAGTAGCCTTCACAAATCGACCCTTGACTCGCTTCCTAGTATCAGCTCTTGCCTTCCTTGACTCGTACCTTATGTGCTTATCATATCTATCGACAAAATGGTACAAGTTTTGTTATACAGTGAAGGTGGGGTGGGTTAAGTAAAAGAAGATAAAAAGGAAACATACCTTCGAGTTTTCTTCTTCTCTTTGTAACGAAGCATGGCGTTGCCTCTATTTTGTGCAAGCAACTCCATGTCTGCTTTTGTTCCTACCGTTCTCATACTGATACTGTCACCCCTCATAAGAAAAGATTGTTCCATAAAACTGATGTCATTAGAAGCACCAGAACCTTTGTCATCGCCAAACACGGACCCTGATAATGGCTGTCCGATAGGGACGTTGTTGCTTTCGGATGTTGCTGGACCCAGACTGCCTTCTGGGTTATTAGAGGTGATCTGCATTTTTGAATTAAAAAGACCACAATATTCAACTGCAGCCCTCACAATTAAAGAACCAAAGTTTACGTACAAGAAGTTATGCATAAAACTTGTTACAGATGCTTTGATATCCATATCTCAAATATGCGAGTTCCAATCATCAAAAAACCACTTGCAAAGCACTCAAACAGCGTTTTGTTTACAATCTTGACCACTTTGTCAAGACAAACATCTTGTTACATTAAACATCAAACATTTTGTGCCACGGTAAAAGAACGTTGGTTTAGTACTTGCTACATTAATATTTTAAATTTCTAGTTACAATGCATGAAAAGTAAGAGGAATTACCACATATGGAATTTATACATCTCTAAAACCGAAAGTGAGGTTTAACAAATCTCATACAGGGGGATCTAGAGTATATTGATCTTGTAACATTTTCCAATCACAACCACTACTGTCGAGATTGATTGACATACGAAATACATGAACATGACAAATGGTTTCGTACGAGGACATTATGGTACTGATGTATATACAATGCCTCAGAGAACTTAAACAAGAACTGATTTAACAAAAAATGAATACAGAAAGGACTTACATTGAATTTTATATCATCATGTCCAACAGGGGAGTTCATCTGGTAGATATCTCTTAACATTTTTGTATCAGTCAAAGATGATTCTTTCATAAGTTCGCTGAAATCTTTAATCATAAATCCTGAAACGTTTGAACCATATGTGACTTTCAATGGACCTGACTCTTCATGATCCCTCAACCGTCCTAAATTAAAATCCCATATCTGCGAGGCAGAAGCAAGTTAGCATACAAAACCCTTAATACTGGAAAAGAATCCAGCCCTGCCAAAGCTTAAAGATAAGTTGCAGAGGAAGTAAACAAAAAGAAACTGGGAACTAGAGTGGCACAAGCTCACAACTGAAATCCCATCGACGAAAGGAATTACTTTCTTTGCTCTTTCCTCTCATATTCCCACCATTCGAAGTTCTAAAGCTAGAAGTAGATAAATGCAGGAATTATAAGGAACACCGTGTGGTCTATACTAGTAGAACTTGTAAGAGTGAGAGTTGTTCAATATAAAAGGAAGAATGTGATAAGCTAGAAGAGAAACGCGAAACGCATATTAAGGTGAAATCTCGGTTAAACATTGTTCCCATTGTCTTGAAATAAACAATGTTCATTCGTTATCGGTGTGTTTTAACCAAGTTCAATTCATCAATGAAGTAAAATAGACAACAAACCAAAAGCAAATTCAGGACAGCACCTGAGTCTGACCATGGGGGTTGCTATCCCACAACATGTCACCGTCACGATTCTCTTCTGGCATCATGAGCATAGTCGAAAAGGGCGTTTGTTGCTGCAACACCGTCTCCAAAGAGGCAGCACGAGCTGCAACCCCACCAACACCTCCATTCTCATTCCTCACATCAATCGAAGCAAGCCCTTCCACATCCCCATTTCCCTTCCCATTCTCCTCCTGCCAACCATTCCTTGTCTGCGTCCCTGGCACTAAATTCTCGCTGCCACTACCACCTCCGCCGCGGCCACCACCCAAGTCCCTCTTAAGCAACTCCAACAGCTGCTTCTGTATCCCCTGCTTCTGCTTCCCGCTTATACCCCCACTATTCTGCCTCTTCATATCACCGGTCAGGTCAACGACGCCGTTCTGGATGGGCACCATCAAGTCCTGCATCCCAAACCCATTCCAAGACGGATCCACGGACGGCAAACCCATATCCCAGTTCTGGAGCTGCGGGTCGGGTCGAGCCGGTAGATTCTTATCCTGGAGATCCAGACCCAAAAGAGACGCGAGCTCGAGCGCCGAGGGGCAGCCGGAGAACCCCTCGAGAGGGGTGCGATCGTGCGCGGCAGTGACAGAGCAGCTGCCGTGGGCGTCCCAATCGCACTCCTGGCAGAGAACGAGGTTGTCGGTGGAGCAGCGGACGGAGACGGCCTCGGAAGAGCAATTATCACAGATCTGAGAGCGCACGTGCTTCCGGGAAAGCAAGTTAGCGGAGTGCACGTGCTGGTCGCAGAACAAGCAGAGCTTGGCGGAGTCTGCCCGGCAGTAGAGAACCGCCGGCTGGTCGCTGCAGAAATCGCAGGGCACCCCCTCTACACCTCCAGATTTGGGGCTTACCATTTCCAAAATCCCTAATTTCCTCCCTACCAGTATCAAACTATTCCAAATTTTGCAGAAAAATTCAAAGTTCCAAACTTTGAGAGAGATTTTCAAAACCCTTTTGAGAATCTGAAAAAAAAAATAGTTTGAAGGTTCCGGAGCAGAAAATTATGAGAGCAAGAACTGACAAATGGAAGAGTGTGTTTTGTGTTTTTCAATTTTGGCTTCTGATCGCGATGCTGATTTTTTTTACTTTTTTATATTATTTTTGATCCTAAAATGAAAAAGGGTGTAAATAGTAAGCGGAGTGTATGAGTAAGAGCAAATCTTTCTTTTGCTAAAAAAAAAAAAGAGCAAATCTTTCTTACTATCTTGGGAAGTGGCTGACAGGCTCAATTATTATTAAAAGGTTTCGGATAAAATATCGTAAAAGATGCAGCTTATTCGATTAAACTAGTGATAAGCATCACTATCGTCGACCTTTTTGCTGTGCTGACGTCTGCATTAGCATGTTAATTATTGTTATCCTTCTGTTTTGGTGATCAAGTTTTGCACCAATGTGACTTGGGAAAAAAACTAACTTGTATACGCAGGACACTATCGTGGTGTTTCGGATAATAGAACAACATAAGCTTCACACGTCGTTTGAATAGTTTGATATATTATTACTTTAACGTATTTGTTTAGGTAAAAAAATTTTATTTTAAAGAATATCGACGATGTGAGAAAATTTGCACATAATCAAGTGACATAAATGATATCATCATAAAGTAAAAAAACAAAATATATAAAAAGTAAAAAAACAAAATATATAAAAAGAGAGAGATATGGTCAAATTCAGTGGGCCGAATCGAAATCTTATTCCTCACGCATTCTACTAGGTTAACAACTTTTGCCTATAGGCCCGTCTTTGCGTTTAGGTTGGATACGTTCCTTTCAAAATGTGATTTTTTTCATAAACCTTATCCTCTTGAAAATGAGGATATTTTTGTTATATCTTAGTGTGAGTGAATAAGGAAGTTACTTGCCCGCTTGTTAGCCACCGCCGTTTTAGTTGGACCAACTTCCTTTTCTTCAGGTGGTAGGTAGGTTACTCACTTAACGTTGTTCTCAACTTTGCTTCTTACCTGCGACCATAGTTTCTTCTTTTTTCTTCGATAGACCACATAGAGTTAAAAAGGGAGACAAACCTGTGAGCTATTATGCTTAAGAAATCTGAATGCTGAAAAGAAAAGATCTCTATAAAAGAAGCGGCATGCTAAATAAATAAAGAAAAGAGAAGCCCTAAATTAACTAATTTATCAGTATTCTATTCTTGAAATATATGAAAACAACAGAAAATCATGTGCTGCAATTGAGAAATACAATTCTTGCAACAAATCTGGAACAACCAAGGAGGAGAAAAAGAACAAGAAATAAAGCAATAATTACACTAGAAGAGTCACTTTCAAGCCATAAATTTTGTTCTTAATGAATCATAAAAATTTGGTCCTTGTGTTTTGAAATTTAGCGAAAAGAACTCTTAGTCCACCACAAAAAAAAACTCTTAAATTTATGAAGTCTTAACCACTAACAATTCCTCCTCTTTATTAGTAAGAAATTTTAAATTCGACTTACTTGAAAAAGAAATTTAATACTTCATTATTATGAATCGCATATTAAGTGGCCTAGCTTTATCTTTTCCACCCTTGAACGTAGTATATCGGAAGTGTATGATGTGAAAATTAACTTAACACACAAATTAAACCCTCTTGTTGTCAAACTGTAGTATAAATGCAAGTAGGGATCGTTCTAAACCAGGGATTAGGAGGGCTTGGTAAAACCTCTAAACTGACTTAAAAACATATAAACAAAGTTAAAAACACTAAACTAGACTCAAAGAACTTAAAACAAACTAAAAGGACTCAAAACAAGCTAAAAACGCTCAAATCTGCTTAAAAACACAAACTGGGCAGATTTAGACTTTAACACACTTTTGGGACACCTAAAAACACAAATCAAAACAGATTTTGACTAATAAAACACTTTAAAGTAAAGGGGGTTTTGGTTTTGATGAATTTGAAAACAAAACAAGTAAATTAAAGAACTAATGAAATCTGCACGAATTTGAGTAAATTGAATGGATGGAAGGCTAGCTAGGACGTTCTTCTCCACACATGACATACTTGCACATAAACCAATTTTCAATTGTTCTTTCGATCAATCATGAAACTCAACACCTCAGGTTAATTAAGTCTGCTTAAATTAACCTTCAAGTTCTCCTTAAGTTATTGAATTGGATGGGAAAGCGCATACAACAATTCAAGCATTCTTCAAAAGTTCTTTACGTGAACAGCACAATAAAGATACAATCAAAGATCATTAAGCATTATGAAAACTATAAGTATTGACGAGGCATTCGTTACTATGATGAGCATGAAACTCCTGCCAAGAATTTATTTAACGCGATCGTTTATAAGCGACCTCCACTACTTGTGAATATAAGTTTGTAACTATTAGGTGAAATTCCCTTATACTCTAGCATCATATTCATGCATGCAAACTAAGTGTGCACTCTTAATAAACATACAGGAATAAGTTATCAATCAAGCATTTAAACAAATTGAATTCACAACTTATGAAATCACAACTGAAGGTAATCAAATCATATTGCAAGCATGAACATGGTTTCGAATTCCCCCCTAGCTAAGGGGGGTTTAGTTCCTCATACTCACAAAGCAAAGATAAACAAATTTAGACATTGAAAACAAAAGAATGAAAACACCTAAAAACGCTCTAACAATCCAACTTGAATGGCAAGCACGTCCAAAGGTCCTCCTTCTTCTCTTTGTTGCAGCACAAGGTGTGGTTTGATGGATAAGTGGTAAATTATGGTGGTGGATGGATATAGGTGAGTTATGGTGAAGGGTGGATGGGTGGATTGTGTTCTCTCGGCCAAAGAATGAAAGTGTAAGTGTATGGAGTTGTGAGATGTGAATGTAGTGTCTTTTGATGGATCTTGTTCTCCCTCCCTTGTTATGGTGAAGGGTGGATGTATTTATAGGCTAGGGAGAGGACCACCAACTAATTAAGGTGGTAGTGGTGTATGTTGTGGTAATGAGTGGATGTAATGGGTGTAGTGGGTGAATGTTTGGTAATGAGTGGATGTAATGGGTGTAGTGGATGGATGTTTGGTAATGAGTGGATGTAATGGGTGTAGTGGGTGAGTGTTTGGTAATGAGTGGATGTAATGGGTGTAGTGGATGGATGTTTGGTAATGAGTGGATGTAATGGGTGTAGTGGGTGAGTGTTGTGGTAATGAGTGGATGTAATGGGTGTAGTAGGTGAGTGTTTAGTAATGAGTGGATGTAATGGGTGTAGTGGATGGATGTTTGGTAATTGTAGGTCAACACACTTGCACACAAACATGCTGATTTCTAGCCTTCAAATCTTCAAAAACGTCCATCCTCATGTCTCCATGCTTGCACTATTCCAATTTTGGCCCAAAAATGCTCCAAAATGCTCCAAATAGCACTTTGTTGCTAACTTTGTTATTTGAACCTACAAACACACGAAAATAGCTTAAAGTACTAAAATAACTAGAATTAAACTAAGTAAATGCCAAGAAACAAGCTAACTAAGTTGCATAAATATGCTCATATCAAATTCCCCCACACTTAACTTTTGCTAGTCCTCGAGCAAAACAAAAGAAACAAAACGAAACAAAACAAACAAAACACAACCTAACCTTCCAACATTTGCCTCAGGGATTTCCAATGCACATGACATGTTAAAAATCATCATTCCCACAGATTTTGGTTATCTTCACACTTGAGCACAAACTTAATCACAGTCACTACTTACTAGTTCACAATTAACCAACTAAAACAATGTTTTGAATGTAGTAACATGCCTTAGAGAATTTGCTCAATTCCTTACAAGATACTCTCTATTTTCACACACATTTTCTGACTGCACACCCTACACTAGAGACTGAGACTCACATATGTTATAACGAAGGAAGCAATTTTCTGGAGTTATTAAGCATGTTTAGATATGGTCTCATGAATGGTATGCTACTACTTAGATGCGAGAACCAGTGACACCATATGCTCATACCAATTTCAAACTCCACAAATTGAAACGCACAACACTCAAGATTGAAGTCAAGGGTTGTAACAGGGCTTGGGGGTAATGGCTAACAAAGAAAGGATAGGAATAACAAACATTCTTAAAGCGATAGCAAGCAAAGCAATGAAATAGACACTTGGAATTCACTTTAGCATGCAGAATCAACTTTTACATACAAAGGGAAGATTCATGCAACACTTAGGGCCGAATTTAATGTTTTGGACCCTTTTTTAACAAACAACACTTTAGAACTCTTTTTCATACTTTTTTTTTCTTTTCTCTACCCGTGCCTTATAAAGACTTTGGCGCACACAGACACAAGAATCACTTCCCCCCACACTTGCTTTCTACAATACATTGATAAAAAAAGGAGTTCATTTTAGGTCGTACTTTACTATGCTTCAAGAACAAGGGTATGGATGATCCTAAAACTAGGCTAGGTAAGGATAGTGTGGGTTAACAAAGAACATAGGCTTAACAAGGCTCAACGGAGTTAAACTTAAACACATAATGAAATAGGGGCACGACAATTTGGCTTTGGTGGTAACTACACAACTTCATCTTGAATATGTGTTATGCAAATCAATAGCATGCTTTGAATGAAATAGGTATGAGTTCTAGCATTTGGAACTAAATGATGAAACGCCTTCTAAGTAGCAACCAAGCAAAGAATAATGAGATCATGCAACGACTTTAGAAAACAATGATGCACAGATTATTAACTCTCCAAATAAACGTTTAGGCTCAAGTCTCACAAGGTTGTAGCGTTCATTTGAGTTCCTTCCTTCAAGCATGTTACAAAAACTGATTTTTCCTTTATGATTGCATGTAAATTCATAAATTATAACCACAACCAAGCATACACCAAAGAGTAAATCAAATTTTCATCCATGTTTATAACTCTCTTTAACAGTCATGTAATTAAAAACCAAATCCTCATCATTGTGTTGTAAGGTACCCTAAGACACAAATAAACACACAAAAACAACTCTTTTTGGATTTTTCAAAACAATTTTTTTTTTCAAATTTTTATGAGATTTTCGGATTTTTTATGTCAAAACACACTAAAACACTCCTAAATAGCTTAAAAATACTTAAAAACAGTA